TTCTTCTGGAGAGATCCTGAAGAGATCGAGCGTCAAGAGCGTATGGCTGCTGAGGCTGCTGCCTATGAGGCTTCTAAGAACACTATGGTCGAGGCTACTGGTATGGCTGCTGCTACTGCTACTACTGGTGTTGAGGGTACTGCTGCTAATGCTGCTTACTTCGAGGAGGGTGAGGAATGGACTGGAGCTACTGGTGGTGATTGGGCTGCTGCCAGTGCTGATCAATGGTAGACGTCTGGTAACAACAACATCAACAAGGAGTAATAACATCAATGATTAGTAGTTGTTATTGTTGATGATGTAATGAGGACTACTACGGCTTGTGATGCTAAAGGAATAAGGCTATTACCATTATCGTCGTCGTATTGAGTTATAATAGTAGTAACTGCCTCCTCTCAGCATCTTCTTGTAGTAATAGTAGTACTTCTTGAAAGTTTTTCATGTCCACCATCAATGTGAGTGGGGGCCCACAATTCACAGCACGTTGAAGACCATGTGTACCACTCAATTCTTTTCCTTCTCCAAAGCACAATCTTCAGAGGTTTTCGACATTTGAGATCATTATGGAACGGCTCTCAAAGGTTTGAGAACTAGGCCTTCGTGACAAAGGGGCGGAGCTTACTGAGTCCACGTCCATGGACTCAATCAATGAATTTTACATAGGTCCCCGGTTCGATCCCTGGGTAGGACATTTATCAATCATTGAAGTTTTTCGTGCATATCTCTTCGAGCTGTTCGCATAATCGAGTTTTCCGATTTTTCCAAACACCTGCTCATATAGAGGAGTCGTTTGATCTATGTGATAGTATTCCACGCTTTATAGTTAAGCCAGAATAGTTCTGCACGCACGCACGCACAACGCGAAAGTGCCTGTTGTTGCGGTGTATGCTCCGCTCGCGTCGCTCGCTCCGCAACTTGTCACAAACTACGCAGTTTAGAAATTCCAGGGTCTTCAAGTTGTCCACGACGTTTTGAAACACGCTTTCGGAGGATCGATCGCTTGATGGCAAAACAAACTGCCAGTAGCAGCATTTTACAGGGAGGAGTACAACTCCATCGATGATTAGCAATTTCGACGACATTTTATGACTCACAAAAACCAATCACCAAACGGTTGTTGTGATCTGAGTACTTCAGTGGTAGAGCCAAATGGTAGAGTGTCGCTTCTCCTTCGTATTGCATTGCGGAAGAAAGCTTGCCGGGAGCTTCCGCAAGAAGTGATGTTTTCGTATCAGTACGAGACATCTGCATAGATCTATCAGTTTTGCAGAGGTAACTATTCCTTCAATATTACGAGCTCTCACTTGCAAGTTCACATAAATAGTTTCGGTACACGGATGTATCGCTCAAGACGGGTCTGCAACTGTTTCACGGCGGAACACTGTAAGTGAAACCTCTAGCCTCCGCGTTATGGCAGGGCTTGCGTGTCGACTCACGAGTGACATCTGGGCACTGCGGAGGATGACACGCAAGGTACACTAAAGACACTCAGGATAGTAAGCTTCTGTCGAATCCACTGAAGCTTGCTACCAGGAGTGCTCCTAGGATCTACATCGGAGACCTCACTTTAGGAGCAATAGAAAGATCAGTTGAGTTCAATTCGTGACTCTCCCACAACAGGAGGACACCATCTATCCATGAGTTCTGTCATACAAGTCAGTTAGGCTTACGCAATTCGCACGCAGCTACAGAGCAAAGCGTCTCGGACACCACCGAGGATCTAGAGTGGCAATCCAAGAAGCAGGTTAATGAGTTGGAAAAGAAGAGAATGATAGAATGGAGGTGAGAGTCTCACCGTGAGACTACCTCCGAGCACGAACACGCTCACGACACCAGCCTTCACACTCTAAACTCCTGGAGTTTGAGCTACTTGACATTCCAAGTCAATAAGTCTAGTCTTACATTCAAGTCATTGGTGCTACAGAAGTATAAACATGAAACGGAACGATTTCACAATGGAACGATTTTCCTTGGAAGCGAGAACGAAGTTTTCAAGTCCCGGTAGCGAGTTGGAGAAGTTGAACGTGTCCCGCAACTGCTCGGACAGCATACTGGGAAATGTCCACCACTCCGAATAAAAATCAGTGATTTTAAATCACGAAGACATTCATCTCTCGTTTACCCAGAACTTCGACTACCTTGGCTTTTCGAAGAGCTACACACTCACCAGAGGCTTCCTTCAATTTGATCTCGCCACAGATGCCTTATGAGGACCAAATATATCTCGGGGCAACATCATCTAGGGAAGCAGGTGATCTGGGGATAGTGCCAGTCATACGCATTTGGGGAGTCGTACCACGAGCACCACGCCAATCTATACCATAACTATTTAGCTGATCCTGCAACATAGCAGCCAAATCATACGGAGAGCTCACATACATCGCACCAGTTCTATATTTGAGATCGAACAGAAACTTCTTCGAAGTAACAGCCAAATCTCTATGTTTTCATAATATCCGCCAGTCCATGGTGTCACCATGGTAAATGACCAACGGCCACTGTATTACCCACTCCATGAGCTAAGAGGCAAGAGTTCACATCTTGTGATACAAGATTCGCTCCTCCATCACACCGAAGATGCCGCGGATAACCATAGAAGCTAAAAGCATGCAAATAAGCATTGACAATACAGGCGGAATAAACAGGCTGAAGTAGGGGAACCAACACGGTAAACTCAGTGAAAGCACATGTTGTAGTCATCTTTGCCCCCCAATTACATTGGACCAATGCAGATCAAACTCAGATTCCGGTTCCCTACCGAACGAACAGACGTTCGGTCTGACCGAATACCAAGGGGGTGGAACTTGCAAACGCTGTCCAGACCTTGAAATACAGATATTTGACGCACATTTGGTGGAGCGCTGGCACACTTCACATTTTCTCACGAAGGCCTAGTAGTGTAGTCTTTGCGCAATGTAGGCCACCAATAAGCTTGTTGCATCACACCGGACAACAGCTGTGCAGAGTGCTGAATTTGAAATTCATGAGTAAAGGTCCAGGCTTGCATGGGGCGAATTCAAGCAAGAGTAACGAGTATCGCTCGTGCGTGCATGGCGCAGGCCATTGTGATCGACCCGAACCAGAAAGTAGTGCAACCGGGCGAGACTGAAGTGACAGCAATCTGGCTGTCCAGGAGCCTCTCGAGCCGGCTCCACGCGAAATTTTTCTTCCGGTGTACAGAGATCTTCATTTGTTTACGTGTAGATGTTGAAATTTTCGATCAGATTGCTTACAATCTCGAATTTGAGCTGGACTTGACTGATTATCCTGTCTTCATCTCTCGTCATCTTTGCACTCTTCGCTATGATCTACTGACCGCTAAGTGAAACTGCTGAGTGAGTTTCTTGCTACCTACCGAGAGGTAAAACTAGGCTCCGATCGTTCCACAGGAGACAAGTAGCCGGTAGTGGATGTCAGCGGCAACATCCAATGGATTCCCGACTCGGCCGATGGCCGGCGGCCATTGGTGGCCGCAAACCTCGCAACCTCAGTTAACTGTTGTACGGCCTTCTCCCTATCGTATTATGTATCGATACTAGCTGCAACGTGAATGGAGGCCGCTGGGTGTTAG